AGAAAACTCAAAAACGAATGCTATAAAACTGGGTATCACCACAGAGAAATAAAGTCACACATACTTAACTACAATCAATTCCAAATATTTCACAAGGTAGTTTATTAAGTGTTTACAAAAAAAAAAAAGTATACTTATCCTGGGCTTCCCTGGTGGCGCAGTGGTTGAGAGTCCACCTGCCGATGTAGGGGACATGGGTTCGTGCCCCTGTCCGGGAAGATCCCACATGCCGCGGAGCGGCTGGGCCCGTGAGCCATGGCCACTGAGCCTGCGCGTCCGGAGCCTGTGCTCCGCAAGGGGAGAGGCCACAACAGTGAGAGGCCCGTGTACCGCAAAAAAAAAAAAAAAAAAAGTACACTTATCCTAGCTCTTGAAGAGAGGACTCTTTTTTTCAAATATTATTTTGCTTTTTTCTTATTTATTTATTTATTTATTTATTTTTGGCCGAGTTGGGTGTTCGTTGCTGCACGTGGGCTTCCTCCAGTTGCAGTGAGCGGAGGCTACTCTTCATTACGGTGCGCGGGCTTCTCATTGCGGTGGCTTCTCTTGTTGTGGAGCACGGGCTCTAGGCACGCAGGCTTCAGTACTTGTGGCACATGGGCTCAGTAGTTGTGGCTCACGGGCTCTAGAGCGCAGGCTCAGTAGTTGTGGCACACGGGCTTAGTTGCTCTGCGGCATATGGGATCTTCCCCAGTCAGGGCTCAAACCCATGTCCCCTACATTGGCAGGCAGATTCTTAACCACTATGCCACCAGGGAAGTCTGAGAGGACTTTTTTTTTAAGTACAGAAGAAACGGGGGGAAACTACACTTCTGTTTTTGCGCATGTTTTTTCAGTCCCTGGAATACAAATTACCCTCCTCAACTTAGCAAAAGCCTACAAAATTGTTATAATTCAGTTCAAATTTCCCACCCAGTGAAAGCCCACTCCTACCTCCCCCACCTTTAGTATTCCAACAGCACCTATAGTTACACGTTGGCACTTATCACACAGGTTTGTCCTGATTCTTTAGGGCAGTTTGGCTATCCACTGGAATGTAACCTTTGAGGGCAGTCTCATTCATTCCTGTATCCCCAATGCCTAGCATTTAGTAGGTATCCAAAGAAGTATATTTGGAATAAATAGTGACAAGTTCGCTCAGGCTAACTACTTCTTGTTATCCATCAGAAGCTTTCTGACTCACACTTTATCTCAATTCAATGGAGAAGCAAAACAAATGTTAGAGTCATTGAAGATACCTTCTGGAGACCGCTATTCATCAAAAATAATTGACTGGAGGCAAGCCAAGTCAGGATTCTCCTGGGGATCAATTTCTGATGGCGCTTTCTTCATAAATAAGGGGATCTTTTCAAATTCCTGGAGGTTGTTAAGAGAAGAATGAACTACATAAATAGGATTTTCCACTGAGTACATCCAATGCCATGTCTCTACATCAAAGTTTTCTTACTCATCATAGTTTGCAAATCTTCATGATTGCCTTTCTCTCTCCCTATCCAGGCCCCAGTTTCCCATCCGTAAAACAGAGTGTAGAATAATCCCTAAAGATCTTTCAGTTCTCACATTCTTATGAGTGGTAGTTGAGCGCTCGTATGTGCAGTTGAGCGCTCGTATGTTCCTAGCACTTTACCCACCCTCTCACTTCAGCTTTGCCACAATCCCACGAGATTGGTGTTACAGTTAGAGGAATTTTACAAATGAGGGGACGGGCTCAGATAGGTGAAATAACTGACCCAGTATTACAGCCAGTATGTGGTGGAGTCACAGGTTACTGACTCCAAAACCTGTACACCTAAACGTACTGGCAGCTTAAGAAGACCCTCAAAACTTCGGGGCCGATTTTTAACACTCAAGTAGAAACCACCTTTCCGCTGGGCTCGGAGGTGAGGGAGGCGCCTCGGCGCCCTGGAGGCCCCAGGAGTTCGGTCGACGCGCACGCACACCACACACACACACACACACTTGCGGAGACCCCGGGCCCGCTCACCTCCTCCCACTGGTCCTCGTGGAACCCGCCGCGGTAAGGCTGGCTCTGGAACTTTTCCAGGAACGAGTCCATGGCGTCGTCAGAGGCCACGTCCTGCTCCTGCCGCTCCATGTCTGCTCCCTGGCTCTCCTGCCACGGTCCAGACGCCGAGAATTGCTCGACAACTTCCGGCGGCGTGGATGCCCTTCCTTCAATCTTCCGGGCTGTGCCGGCCCTTGTGCCTCTGGTTCCGCCTTTCTGGGGGCGTGGCCGACCCGACTCCACCCCTCCCCCGGGAAGCACCGGCCCCGCCGCGCCTTCCCGAGTACTTTTGGGGTCGTGGGTTCAGTCAACCCACAGTTCCTAAGCTCCTTCCGTGTTCCAGGCCTGTTCTAGTCGCTGGGTATACAGCGCTAGGCAAAGCTGGTAAAATCCCTGCCCTCTAGGAGTTGATTAGGTAGAGGAGAGAGACAGACAATAAACAAATAAGATGTGAGAGCTTGCCAGGTGGTAGCAAGGACTATGGAAGAAAAGTTTTAAACAGGGTGGGCAGGCATTCAAGCAAAGGAAGAGGCTGGGGGTTGTCTGCGCAAGAGCATTACCCATGGAGGGAACAGAGAGGGCCGGGCTCGGCGGTGCAGCAAGGAGTGTGAGTAGAAGGTAGGTGGGAGGGATAATGGGCTGTGAGTCTGAGCGTTTGGGTTTTCCTCAGCGTGCAGTGGGACCTTGTGGAGAGTTCTGAGGAAAGGAGTGATGTGCTCACTCTCTGTTTCTGAGGTTAACCACCTCTACCCTCGGTCCCCACAGCTGAGATGGGAACAAGGCCTCCGGGCCAGGTAAGCCTTCCTGCAACCCCTGGGTTACCCAGCAACTGGCTGCTGGGCCCTGCATCGGGTGCTACAGTCTTGGCAGCTCACAGCCTAGTCTAGAAGGAAAGACAGGCAGGTGGCAGACCAATCTAAACCCCAGCTGGTCACAAGCCTGTGCAGTGGAGGCACAGAGGAGTGGGTGTTCCCTGGGGAGTTCGGGGAGGTTTCACAGAGGAGGTGACACAGACCTGGGAGCAGAGATCAGGACTATCTGCAGATGGATGGGGGCTGAAGGGAAGTTGGGCATTTTAGGCAGTGGGAGCCCATGTGCAGAGACACGCGGGTGGGCAACAGCCTGCATGCTGGCTACCGCAAGAGTTAAGAGGAAGGCCAGCAAGGTGGGTGGGGGCCAGAGGGCCTGACTGCCCTGTAGCCCTTTATCCTGCAGAGGACAGTGAGCCACTGACAGACCTATGAGCAAATTTGTCTTAGAAAGGCCTGGGTTGCCAGGTGAAGGATTGATGGGGGAGTCTGGATTAAGAGATTGACAAGGAGAATGCTGGTGAGGGGCCAAGGGAGAAAAGAGATCTGAAGCCCAGAAGCAGAGCTGGCAGGCTTGCTCATTATTTGACACGAGGATGAGACAGACAGCAGGGCTAAGGATGACACGTGGAGCTTTCCAGGGCCAGGACTGTGTGTCTTTTCCTTTCTACCTCACCCACACCCAGCAGAACACCTGGTCCAAATGCTCCCCTTCCTCTAAATCCAAACCTCCTTTTCCACTCTTCCTCCTCTAGCCCGCGCCCTAAGGATTCCCTTTTATTCTCTTTTATTTATTTTCCCTTCCTGAATACAGAGCCTACAAAGTCTTTTTGCTTCCTTTTTAAAATGTGATTCCTATAAAATCCTGTAAGATTTTAGGTGATGGTAGGGAAGGTTCAGAGAAGGGATGTGCTCTTTGACCCTTCCAACTTGAGACTACTTGGGGGCCTTGGTCAATAATTGAGCCTATCAGACTCCTTTGTGCTTCAAGACCACCCAGACCCAGAATAGGTGGCTGTTACGTATCAAGGCCACCAAGACCAGAATGCTGGCCAATGAAAACGGCAGTGTCTCTAGGTGGAAAGGGCTCAAGCATGGGAGTTGGGAGGCCTTTGGGATCCACACTTCTATTGCTTCCTGGCATGACATTGGACAACACCCACCGTCTTTGAGCCCTGTCCTCATTTGGTGAACGTGAGCAATGAAGCCAACCTGCCTCCCCCTTAATTCCATATGGCTACTGTGAGATTCAAATGAGGCAATGCTCGTGAACATTCTTGGCAATGGACAAAGGTTATGCAAAATGACCACTCCATTTCCTACTCTCTCAGGCCCAGAATCCTGATGGCCTTGGCCTACATTTATTGGAAGATGACTGTGTGTTCAACTTCATGGGTTCCTCATCCCCAGCAGGAGCTTAAATGTAGGTGCCCCTCAGGCTCATGTCTCTTCCTGCTCTGCACACTCACCCAGGGAATCTCAGCTCACACCTGTGCACAGGTGAATCCCAAATCTGTTTCCATCTCAGATCCCTCCCACGTGCAGCCAGCACCTGGGGGCGGTCTCCACTAGCATGGCAGACAAGCCCCTCAAGTTCACCAGGTCCAGACTGAACTCACCCCTCCTCCAACCTGCTCCTGGTCGTGAGGGATGCTCAGTGGGGGACACCATTGGCCTAGTCAGCCACCCAGAAACCTGGGCACCATCCTGACGTCTTGCTCTCCCCCCTGTCATCCACCAGATTCTGAAAATTCTCCCTCCTCAATCTCCCACAGGTCCAGTCACCCTCTCCATCCTGCACTGCAGCCCAGGCCCCTGCCAGGCCCCGAAAGCCTCTAGCCGGGTCTCCCTGTCTGTGCTCTTGTCCAGCCCCCCCCCCCCACCCAGCACTTTCCCTCCATTCCTGCATGAGCTTTCCTCTCTGTTTTCTGATTTATTCCCTTTTATGCTCCAGAGCCCTCCTCCTTTCCCACTCCTATCACTCTAACGTGTTTTAATGGACATTTTCAGTTTGTAAGTGTCCTTGCAAGATGCAGCTTCTTTTGTGCATATGTTTTATATAGTTTTTTCCCTCAGCACTAGGTTTTAGGTCCCATCCATGGTGCTACATGTACCCCTACTGCCCCTAACTGCTGCGTGGGACTCCGGAGTGCCCATTCACTTCCCGAAGATGGGTCCTCAGGCTGCCTCCTCTGCCTTGCACCACAGATAACACTAAGACTTCCTCATATGTCTCCCCTTACGGACCTATGGGAATATTTCCCTGACACGTGTGCCCACGAGTGGAATTGCTGAGTTACGGGCATGCATAAACCTAACATGACTGAAGAGTGACAGATTCCTGTCCAGAATGGCTACCATCTGCCCTCCTATCAGCAGTGCCTGTATGCACACGAGGAGGGAGCTTTCTAAAGCAGACACCTGCCCACATCTCCCCACTGCTTGCCTCTCCCCTTCCCACCATGCCTTCCCAGACTCTGAAGTCTTCCTCCTTAACACAGGCTCCAAGGCCATACTGACCCAGCCCTTGTCCTCCTCTTCCTTCCCACTCTGGGCTCCAGGGCACCTACGTACCTGTAGTTGGTTCTTGGTCCCACGTGCCCTGCTCTTCTCCATACATGCCTGTCATGTGGTCATCTTTCCAAACCCCCTGGAGGGGACGTCTCTTCTCTGGGAAGCCTTCCCTGACACTCCGACCCCCAGCTGGCTGATGTACCTCCTCTGGACTTCACAGCCCCTATGCTGCCGTTCAGCACAGCATTGACCTGCTGGGCTGTTCGTGTCTTTATATGTCTCTGATACTTCCATTAGGCCAAAGTTTCTCAACCTTAGCACTTCTGACAATTTGAGATGGACGAGTCTTTGCTGTAGGGCTGCCCTGTGCACTGTAGGATGTTTCGCAGCATCCCTGGCCTCTACCCACTAATGACAATAATATTCTTACCCCAAGTTGTAACAACCAAAAATGTCTTCAGACCTGGCCAAAATCACCCCCAGTTGAGAACCACTGCATCAGACTATGAACTGCCCAGGGCCTGGGGCTGGGACTCATTCACATCTGTATCTCTGGTACCCAGAGCAGGCCTGGCCCAGGTTAGGTGCTCAGTAAATACTGCCCAAATGAGTGGTGGCCAATTGCTGGGCAAAGACTGGATGGTGTGACTCAGAGATCAGTATTCTGGGATATGCATGATTTCATGGGGTGGAGGGGGTTCTCTTTTCCTCCTCCAAAGGCTACCCAAATCATCATCTCCTTTTGTTCTTATTCTCTCCCTGTGAGGGAGGGGAACCTGAGACATCTAGCAGACTTACTGTGTGGCCTTGAGCAAGCCATACCACCTCTCTGAGCCTCAGCCTCCCCACTTATAAGATGTGGACAAGACAGCCTATGTGCATCTGTAAATGTTGACTGACTCAATGATGAAGGCCATGCTCATCTCATAGGAAACACTCCGTGAGGAGAGGCAAAACATGTGGCATTTATAGTGAGCATGGCTGGGGCCATGGCCACCTCCGAGGAGGGCTGGGGGCTCAGGGACATCACTGCTTCAAGGGCATCTTCAAGGAACCCAGCGCCTTCATGATCCAGGAGCGCCGCTGGTGGGAAGTGGGCAGGTTCTCACAGCTAGGGCTCCAGCGGTGCGTGGTAGCCGGGCCACACACCCAAGAGTCCCCATGTGGCAGTGGCCAAGAGTCCCGCCAGCGGCTGGCCAGGATGCTGTCCTGGGCCTGGGCCGCGTAGATGCACACTGATGCTTCTGGGTCGTGTCTCAAGTTCTCCAGAGCTGAGTTATGGGGAGGAGAGAAGTCGCTTGTTAAGACCAGGTCCACCCATGAGTCTCACACCCCATTCTTCTCCCTTCATGCCTTGGCTTTAGCACTCTGCTCAGCATCCCCTCATCTCCCAGCTCTTCAAATGTTCATGCCTTTTGAAGCCTGAATCAAAACCTGCGTTCTCCAGGAAGCCTTCTTGGACTACCCCAGCCTACCTTCATGCTCCCATCAGCTTCCCCAGTTACAAAATTTACGTGCTCCCTTAAGAGTCTGAACTACTTGCTCTGCACTAAATGGTTTTTGGTCTTATTTTCTGAGCCTCGTTTCCTGGATCATAGGCTCCCCTAGGGTGGGGTTGTGTGTCTGGTTCTTGGTGACTCCACAGTACTTAACATGTACTTGCCTGGGTCAATACCAGCACAATTGGACTGAGCTGAAACCCCTGGCCTTGGGACGTAACCCTTCCCTTTCCCATTACCCACTGTGAGCCTACTCGTTCCCTCACTG